AAGGGGGTAAAACCACACTATTTGATTAAACACAAATCATAATACATTGAAATGCAGAGGACTCCCTTTATTCCATGGGTGTTGGTGAGCAGGTCTACAATAGGCTTTGATTTTTTTTAAAATTGTCATGAAATATACATAATATAAAATTTACCATCTTAACCATTATTTAAGTGTTATCACATTAAATTTAACACCACTCAGTAGTCACATTGTTGTGTAATATAGAAGCTTTTATGAGTAGTTATATTCTGAAGGATATGATTTAATATTTAGAAAAAAATACTGCCTTATAACAGATTTTTTCTATAATTAACAAAACTTAAGGTTAAATGCTAAGCCAGGCAACCCAACAGCCTATTGCCTATAAAATGCAGCAAGAATCAGAAAAATGCAAATTTCACATGAAACTTAAAGGCTTAAGGGATAAGCTAAGAAGGAATTGATCTACGCAAACTTTTCACACCTTGATAAATTTCACCCCACCAAGTATTGCAATCAAAAATCAGTCTTTACATATCTCTACATGATTTCAGAAGTATATACGCATTTCGTAGTAGAAATCCCCAAAGTGTGCTTTGTACAATTTTGCGTTCTCTATATATGTTACGTAAAAGATCTTTTAACAAATAATAAATATTACCTCTGTGGAGGAGAAAAAAAAGTCTTTAAGATTGGCTGGGGTGGCTCAGTGATTGAGGATTGACCCATGAACAAGAAGGTCATGGTTTGCCCTAACCAGTTTGGCTCAGTGGATAGAGCATCTGCCTGTGGACTGAAGGGTCCCAGGTTCAATTCTGGTCAAGGGCATGTACCTTGGTTGCGGGCACATCCCCAATAGGGGGTGTTCAGGAGGCAGCTGATCGATGTTTCTAACTCTCTATCCCTCTCCCTTCCTCTCTGTAAAAAAAAAAAAAAATCAAAAAGAAGGTCATGGTTCGATTCCGAGTTAGGGCACATGTCCGGGTTGTGGGCTCAATACCCAGTTGGGGGCGTGTGCAGGAGGCAGCCAATCAGTGATTCTCTCTCATCACTGATATTTCACTCCCTCTCTCCCACTCCCTTCCTCTCTCTGAAATCAATTTTTTTTAAGTCAGTCTTTATAACATACGATAACACACACTGAGATAGAATGCTATTTTATTGTAGAAATAATAACCAAAAGACCACAAAATATTGAGGAGAGAGTACTTTTTTTGTTTCGAATTTCCTAGGAGTCACCTAGGTTCAGGAATGTATGCAGATGGCCTAGTTTCTGTTCACTTGTCTTAATCTATTTGTAACTCATATGCTGAACCTGGCTGTTTAGCTGGAGGTGGAGCCATGGCCATCCTGTAAATATAATAATTCCAATCTTCTACAGAGCTATTAAAAAGAGGATGTTCCATTGGTAGGATTTGGTTTTCACTCTTGGTTTTGCATTTAACTCTAGCAACCTTTATTTCAAGAAGACATGATTTAAACTGTTGGCTTGAATTCATTTGATTTGCAAAGTCTCTCTTCTGTTTAGCTTTTAAAACAAATACCATCAGCTTTGAAGTGGGATTATAACTTCCTTTTCATCTGGGTAAAAGTTTGTATGGTTTGTCTGTTACACTGATAAGTTATGAAGGAATTTGGTAAATACCCACACAAAAAACCTGAGACATACTTCAATGAACTTGTATGGAGCTTTGTTTTTAGGCTGTACCTTATAGGTTCCCTTTGGTCTTAGAAACAGAAAAAAAAAAATAGCTCTTGTTCCCCTGTCTCTTTATTCCTCCTCTAGTCTTCAACTTGCCATCGTACTTCCTGTTTGAATCTTCCCCATTCGTTCTGCCAAGAAATGGGAAATCTTACTAACAGCTGATGGTTCCCATATGGCAGATCCAGCTAGAGAGGATTGGGGAAGCAGGCGCCAGGCCTTCCACGGCAGTCTCCGTTAGCCCAGATACTGCAGGATTGAAATAAAAGATAGTGTTTCATTTTCAGAACCCCTTCCACCTACATTATCTCATGTTAGTGTCTGAGAGAAGCAGGGTTGAAGCCTGCCAGAGGAGCTGGTGAATGTTATTTCTCCTTCCTGCTTCTCACCATCTTGAGTCCTGATTGATGAAGCTGGTTCTCCATGGCTCCGATGAGCTGCCTTCTCTCCATCACAGCCTTGCTTCAGGATTTAGTGCATGACGCTTATTTCTACACATAGGCAATGTTCCCCCCCCTTTTTTAATGGAACATCTCATCCTTCGCCACAATATTTAATTTCTACTGATAAAATTTTACTTACAATCTTAGAAAAGTTTATAGAAAATACAGTTCCTTTCTGGAAGTCCCAGTTAATGAGATGCCAGCACTAAATTTGTAGCAAGAGCATAAGAATCAACCTCCAAATTAAAAAATATTAAAGGTAATTCAATACCTTTTATTGCTTCCATCACTTCCTTTCTGAGGCTGTTCTTTACTGGCCTTTTCTCCCCCTGTAACTCAGCCCCCCTACTTACTATGTTAATCCCATCTTGGCTATTTCTAGATTGTGTTTCTACAGCTAATGCCCTCATCACATTGTATTATAATTATTTTTTTGTATATTAGTCTCTTCTACTAAACCGTCAGCTCCTTGAGGGCAACCACTGTTTTTGTTTGATTTTTTAATGTTTGTTTTATTTTTGTCTCTGTATCTGATAAATGGTGTCATTGTGTTTCCCTCAAATTTAAAATATCCCATGGCACTCTGGGCTGCCTTGGGAACCACAGTTACTGAGTGACTGGAGCAGAGAGTTTTTGGCGAGGGTGGCCAGAGAAGTCTTTTTTGGAGGGCGTGGCAGTTGGATTAAGGCCCGAATGATAAGAAAGAATCATAGCCAGTTTGCTGGGGTAGAATGTTGTGACTAAAGGAGGCTGGTGTGAAGGTCTGGAATAGAGAGCAGAGGAGTGTGAGGTGAAGCCAGTTCATTGAATCCCCACAGTCCATGGGAAGGGAGTTTTGTTTCCTCCCAACTTCAGGGGGAAGCCTTTGGAGGAGTTTAAGCCAAGGAGTGTTGTCATGAGATGTCCATTTTGAAGAGATTATCTGGTTCTCTGTAGAAGACCGCTGTGGTGGAGGGCAAACTTGAAAGCAGCAAAGCAAATAGGAGACCAGTGCAGCTGCTCAGTTTTTAGATACTGGTGGGCTGAACTAGAGGGGTGGCAGGGAAAGGGAGAAGTGGTTGTGTTGGGGTCTACTTCCTTAGTAGCTTATAGAGTGTATTGGCAGAACTTGGTAGTTGCTGAATAAGAGCTTATGGAAATTTTAATAAACTGGTTCCTTAAAAGCAGTTACTCTGTTTCATCATTATTCACTATTTTTTTCTTTTATTCTATGTCATTCCCAGGACCCTGCTTCTAAAATTCTTTGGCTGGATGAGATACAACACGCAGTCTATGAGGCCAACAGGGACAAGGACAAAGCAAAACAATGTAAGCCCTCACCTCCTTTTGCTGGCCCATCTTGCCTTGCTTGTATCTGCTTATGCTTCTGAATTTTTATTCATAATTTTTTAATGCATAAGTTTTAATTTCTGAAAAGGTTGGACTTCTTCTACCAATTTGAGTTCTTGAATACATATGTATACAACAATAGGATTCATTGGTTGCACTGTTTTCAATGACTTAAGTGCTCTTTCCAGCAAAATCTGAGAATGTAACCAAACAAAACCCAGGAAGCAAAAAAATGGTTTCTAAATTTTCAAATTTATAGTTCAGTCAAGTCCTTTTTTATCTTAATCTTAAAAAAACTAGCCCATTTTTGCTCAATAAATGTTCGTCCTCCCTTCCAGGCCTTTCATTGTATTCGTCAGGGTTTTCCAGAGAAAGAACTACATAAATATTTTTCTCTGGAAAAAACCAACTACAAAGATAGATAGATAGATAGATAGATAGATAGATAAGATAGATAGATAGATAGATGGCTCTGTTTCTCTGGAAAGTGTATTGTATGTATACATCTATCTATACTGCACATACATATATGGAGAGAGAAAGGGAGATTTCTTTTTAGGAATTGGCTCATGCAATTATGGAGAGGCCGGCAGAAGCTGGGTGGCAGCACTTAATCACCCAAAGACAAATGGATGTAATTTATAATAAACAGCAGAGTGAACGCAGTAATCAGAACAGTCTAACTCACAGAGACCTATGGAATTGGCTGATTGAACATGGTGCTCCTAGAATGAAATAGACAGCCTACTAAATTCTTACTTGTCTAAGCGGAAGAAGAGTTCTAGGTCAAGTGAATAGAAGTATAACTTGGATTATAAAAACAGGAAGTCATGGCCCCTTAATCGGTTTATAGACCCAGAACTCCCTGAGGAAAGGGAAGGCGGGGTCCTCT